AAACCAGAAGTGGGGCTGTGGCTCAAGTGGTAGAGCGCTAGCCTTAAGCTGAAGAGCTGAGGGACAGCACCCAGACCCAGAGTTCAGGCCCCACTACCAGACTCCCCCCCCAAAAAAAAACCAAAAACAAACAAAACAAAACAAAACTATTACAGTGTGACTAAACTTCCAACTGTTAACAATATCAATAACCTTACTCCTGGAATGCCTGATATGTGAACCCCTCTTCCAACCTCTAACCTCTCTCTGTATATTCCATTACTTTGGCATTATAGTAGCCATATTTTTGGACTTTAACAATAATTGTATTGTCCAAATGTTCATGTTTAAACATCATTACATACACTTCAATATACAGTCTTTCATACTCATTTTAAAATTTGATGTTTTTTGAATCATTCTTAGTATGTAGACTGCTTCTCTTTCCTTGCTTCTCTTCCCTTTCCTTTCCTTTTATCTGTTGAAGAACTTAAGCATTTGACCTGTAAAATTTCTCCTCAGTCTTGACAAGCCTAATTGTATTTTCCTTCATTCTTGGCATTTCCTCAAATTGGAACCTGCATTCAGAGATGGGATCAGATTCAGGTTGAGTTCTTTGGCTAGGTTTGTAGGAGGCATATAATGTCTTCCTAGCTTCTTTGAAGATCTCTGACTTTGATACTTAATGTCCCTGGCTAGTAACTTATTGGATTACAACATGTTGATATCTTTTTTTTTTTTGCATTAGTCAATTAGAATATATTTATAAGGACTCTTGCCCTCAGGTGCTGTTTGTTTACTTAGGATATATCCATGCACAGGCATCATGTGTATATATACACATAATATATTTGTAATATATTTATATTATACACATGCACGTACGTACATACACATATCAATTATGTTTTCTTTTTCACTTTTGCAGTGCTGCAGATCATTCATGAAGCTTCATGAGTTCTAGATAAGCACTCTACCACTTGGCTGTATCTCCTAGTCCATGATATAGCTGCAGTTTTGAAAACCTGCTTTCTTAATCAGTTTTCTTCTGTTAAACTCCTTGTGCCAATACTGACATTTTGTGTTTTCCCTCTCCCCAGCCACCTGAAATTCCATCTTTCATTTGGCAGAGAACCAGAATCTATGTGTTTCTGGGTAGTTCACCAATTTTTTCATTGTTCTGCCTGTCTTGTGGAATCTACAGTGTACACATTTTGAAAATCTGTATTTATGAAGAGCAGTTTTCTAACTTGTAAGTTACTGTGAATAAAAAAATCCTTTTTAATTTTCAGATTTGTGAAAATTCTCAATATAAAGCCTGGTATAAATTAAATCTTGTTTTTACCCTAAAACACTGCTCAAAGTCTAACCTTGTTTCTCATGCTTCTGTCAAAATTTTACCAGAAACATAAAAACCTCAGTATGTAGGAAATGAATAGAATCCTAGAGCAGTGATTTCATCTTTTTGTAATTTATTTTTTCCTGAGAATCATTATTATTTTCCAATAATGATGAAAAATAAAAATAAATGGAGAAATCTTCACCTTGTTTTTTTTTTTTTTGGTTAGTCATGGGGGTTAAACTCAGGGCCTGGGTACTGTCCCTGAGCCTCTTTGTGCTCAAAGATAGCCCTTTTCCATTTGAGTCATAGCACCACACCCAGTTTTTGAGTGGTTAATTGGAGATAAAGTCTCAGTGGGACATTTCTGCCTGGGCTGGCTTTGAACCAAGATCCCCAGATCTCAGCCTCCTGAGGATTACAAACATGAGCGCTCCACCCTCTTCACTTCTTTCATAACCAAATTTGTCTGCATTTAGGTACTTACCATTCATGGTAGAATAAAAGAAGCTAAAATTTTTTAAATTCTTCTTCTTCTTAAGAAGCTAAAGATTTTTTAATTCTTCTTCTTCCTTCTTCTTCCTTCTTTTTCTTCCTCCTCCTCCGTTGGTTGTGGGGCCTGGATTCTGGGCCTGGGCATCGTGCTTCAGCTCTTCAGCTAAAGGCTGTGCTCTACCACTTGAGCTACAGTGCCACTTCTGGATTTTTCTGCTTATGTGGTGCTGAGGAATCAAACCCAGGGCCTCGTGCATGTAAGGCTAGCACTCTACCACTGAGCCACCTTCCCAGCCCCCTAATTCTTCTTTCTTATTCCTCCTCCTCTTTTTCTTCTTTCTCCTCCTCCTCTCCCTTCCCTCATGCCTCCTCCTTCTCTCCCCCCACCTCTCTTGCCATAATGGTTAACAAAAGACACAGAATTGGTTGGGCACTGGTGACTCATACTTGTAATACTAGCTGAGCTCTGAGGATTGCAGTTAGCAGCCAGCCCAGGTAGCAAAGTCTGTGAGACTCTCATTTCCAAAAAACTACTTAAAAAAAAAAAAAAAGCTGGAAGTGGGGCTGTAGCTCAAGTGGTAGTACATTAGCCTTGAGCAAAAGAAGCTCACGGATATCATCAGACCCTGAGTTCAAGCCCCAGGACCAGCACCAAAAACAAAACCCAAAACAAAGACAGATGCAGAATTAGCCAGATGCCTGTGGCTCAGGTCTGTATTCCAAACTTCTCAGGAGGCTGAGAACTGACGAGCATAGTTTGAAGCCAGCTCAGTCAGGAAAGTCCATGAAATAAATAAATACCAGAAAAAGTTAAAAGTGGAGTTGTGGTTCAAATGGTAATGCACAGTGCACAGCCAGCCTTGAACAAAAATGCTCAGGGACAGCACCCAGGCCCTGAATGCAAGCCCTAGTACTTCTGAGGATGTGTGTGTGTGTGTGTGTGTGTGTGCGTGTGTGTGTGTGCGCGCACGCGCGCGCACGCAAGCACAGATGAAGAGTTAACAGAAGACTATCAAGAGGCTACTGGAAAATAAAATCTAGCCTCCAGTTCTAAATCACATAGCCAACTTCTGAGCAAGTACTTGGTTCAATGAAACATGTTCCATCATTTTACAATTAACAAATTGTCTTTTTCCTTTATTTATATACTTTACCATAGAATTATGGGAGCCAGGGGTCTAGGATGCTCCTTTCCTGGTTTTCTGTAATTATATATAAAGGCTAGTCTAGAGATACTTCCAAATACATAATGATAAAAAAAAGAAAGTTAGGGCGCTACGGGTTTAGCCCAGTGGAAGGGCGCCTGCCCGGCGCGCGCAAGGCCCTGGGTTTGGTCCTCAGCCCTGGAAAAAAAAAGAAAAAAAAAGTGCATTGAAACATTTGTAGATTTTCAGCACATCACTGTTTCTCTTTTGTGTTAGAATGGGACAAAGAATAGTCACTAAATATTTGATGTGACCATTTTCCTAGATAATTTTGCAGTTTGGAGTAAATTTTCTCAAATTAGAATCTATAAGAAATGTTTTGTTAATCAGTGGTCCAGGTCATTAGGCTCCTGTTAATCAGAAGTTTACTTTATAATCATAATGTATCTATGATGTTGTCATTTCTATTCCTCTTCATCTCTTTGTGTGGGTATTGTGATTACTTGATTATATCTACTTGGCATAGTGGGTTTTAAAACAGCATTTATAATTCTTCTGCCTTAGTAGGCAAAATGAGAATATGGAAAGACAATTGGCGGTTGAAGCATGATAGTTTCCTTTTGCCTTCATGTAGTATTTAGTGAGTTGCAGACTTGGAATAAGAGAATTGAGTTTTTTGTTCTGGTCTGGAAAATGATTATTTTATCCCACTGGAAACAGATTAAATTGAGGTGTAGGTATCTCATTATCTTTCATGTAGAATCACTACACTTTTCATAAGCTTTATATTTTTTGTGGTTTCCAGGTTTATTTTTTCATGAAAATAAGGGTCTGTTAAAGCTAGATACAAACATTACATGGAAAGTTCTTTGAAAGTATCTATTATGTCAAAAAGGTTTCTTACTTAGAACCCTGCCATTCATAATACTGGTCATTGTCATTGTAAATATTTGGGTTCCTATATTATGTATTAGAGGTGTGTGGACTTTGCTGTCTGATTATTCTACTGTTGCCTCTTTATCAGAACTTTTTGCTATTACATAATACCTAACAGTTGTGACACTCATTTTGGACCTTGCTTTGGAGCTATATGCTGTTATTGATGGAGGTCAGGATATGGTACCCCCAAATGACACCTTGACATGATATATATATATATATATATATATTATATGGATATTTACATATATGTATATTTTAAAACAGTCTTGGGGCCTGAACTCTGGGCTTGGGTATACTTTCCCTAGTCATTTTTTGTTTGAGGCTTATGTTCTACTACTTGAGCCACAGCTTCACTCCCGTCCTTTTGGCAATTAACTGGAGATAAGAGTCTCAGACTTTCCTGCCTGGGCTGGCTTTGAACTGCGATCCTCAAATCTGAGCCTCCTGAGTAGTGAGGATTACAGATGTAAGCCACCAGCACCTGACTAGCATACTTATTCTTGACATAGCTTTTATAGTCACAGAATAAAAACATTCTGTAATTTCTTTAAGTTGCCTGAGATCTGTTCATATTCCCTTGGCTTTGTTGATATCTGGTAATTTCCACTCATATTATCTCCCACATTTAGCTCAAAGCCTAGCACAGAGTTGGCTTTCAGAAGTGCAGTTATTTGTGTTTTACTAGGCACTGTGTTGCAACACATTGAGAATATAGAGATTTACAAGGTAATTTAAAGAGGCACTTACTATTCACATTGGGCAACAAGGTAGTATATATAAATATCACAGAAGTTGGTTTCAAAATTACACTATCAATATCAATCAAGAGTTTTTCATCAATTTCAGTTTTCTATGTGATTTGGCTTTGTTTTCACATATCCATGGACATGTACTATATGCTATATAGTATTAAATATTTTAATGTTTTGGCTCAGATACTTTAAGGTAGTTTTTGTTGTAGCAATATAGTAATTATAAATTTGTAGTCACAGATATATAATTATACACACATGTATGGGGTTTCCTTTTTATAAAATCATAACTCCATATCATGCTGTGTAATGTTTTTGTTATAAATTTCAACTTGTTTTTCTCCACAGGCAGCAGAAGATGTCATTTTCATTGGGCCTGATACACATGCTATTCAAGCCATGGGTGACAAGATTGAAAGCAAATTATTAGCCAAGCAAGCAAAGGTTAACACAATTCCTGGCTTTGATGGTGTAGTCAAGGTGAGAAACTATTTTGCTCAAATCTTTATAGTATGTCCTCCGATCAAACATTCTGTGAGAGAATATGGGTAAAATATATAGTTTTGAGTGTATATGAGGGAAAAAAGTAGTGGCATTTAACTTGGATTATTTTTAGTGTTTATGAGCTGAAAAGAATGAGTAGTTAAGCACTTGTGTGTAATGATTCAGCATTGACTCATGTGGGAATAAACTTGGTAATTAAAAAATGTGTTGTCAGATATCGGATTACATTTAATGATGAAATGATGTTCTGTATATTTTTACCTTGAACTTCTTTCCATATACATCAGATATAAATAGTCATTCTGTATACAAACAGCTATGAATGACTGGAACCGCCAACATTTATCATGGGCTTTTGCAGCTGAAAAATTCTGAGGATGTCCAGCAATTGGAGTATATATAGCTTGCTTTCCTCCACAGGAGGAAAGTTCTTTTTTCGTGAGAAGTGACTTTCTCTGTTGTGTTTTAACCTTGTGATTTGAGTAAGTTTGCAAGAACTTTTCATCTTAGTGTTTATTTTTCATTCCCCTAGCATATCCTATTGGACAGTTTTTCAAAATTGCACAGAACCATTGCAAAATAGCTACAAAGATTGGTCTCTGCTTCATGAATAGCCTCAGCTGCTTGCCTGTACTTACCTGTGCACTCCTCTCTCCGTTCATACACACACCCCTCACCAAACAACCTGAGATTGAAAATGTCTGGAAGAAATGTGCTTGTTGTTAACAACAAAAAAAGATTTTCTTTTTTGTCATTAGTCCCTAATGCTGTCTATATAACATTAACATTGTAGGCACTTACATTAACACTGTAAGTCACTAAAAGGGACTTAATGTATCTGGAAGTATATGTATTTATATATATCTAGTATATATCTGTATATATCAATATTTATCTATCTATTTATGTACTATACCACACTTTTTTATATGAGACTTGAGCATCCTCAGATTTTAATGAAGAAATACACATAGCTAATAGATACATCAAAAACTATTAAACATATTTAGCCATCAGGGAAATGTATATCAAATGACCTTGAGATTCCATCTTCTCTCAGTCAGTATGGCTGTCATCAAGAAAACAGTAACTACATGTTGCTGAGGATGTGGGAGTGGGGCAGAGGAAACGCTTATGTACTGGCGGTAGGAATATAAATTAGTACAGCCACTGTGGAGATCAGTATAGAGGTTTCTTACCAAACTGAAAATTGAAAGACCTATGGTCTAGATATGTACCCAAAGGGAACAAAATCACCATATAATAGTGATGTTTATTATGACACTATTCGTGATAACCAAGCTGTGGAATAAGCCTAGAAGCCTAGCAATGAATAATGGATAAAGAAAATGTGTTATATATACACAGTGGAATGTTATTTTAATACTATGATACGTTTTTTCTTTTTGTTTTTGTTTTTTGTTTTTTTTGGGTCTGGTCATGGGGCCTGAACTCTGGGCCTGGGCGCTGTCCCTCAACTCTTCAGCTCAAGGCTAGCTCTCTACCACTTGAGCCACAGGGCCACTTCCGGCTTTTTTTTTTTGCTTATGTGGTGCTGAGGAATTGAACCCAGGGCCTCACGCATGCAAGGCAAGCGCTCTACCACTGAGCTACCATCCCAGCCCGATATGCTTTTTCTTATATATGCAATTAATATATTGACTAGTATGCAATTAATATATTAGTAAATTTTCTTTCCTCCTACCTTTCCTTCTCTTATTTAGTTATTTTAAATTATTATTTTAAAATATTATTGTTTTATTAGTTTTGAAATAAATTCTCACTGTAGCTTGGTTTGGCGTGCCTATTACTCATTGTGCCTTTCACTTTTTTTTTAAAGTAATCTCTTCACTAGAGAGAGAAACTAATGTTTGCAAAATGTAATTTTTGAGTAATCACTTGACACCAGATATTTGCCTTTACCGAGTTTAGTTTTATTAACTTGATTTTGGGACAGTTAGAGCAGAGGATTAAGAGTATAGATGTGGAAAGCAGGAATTAGGATCCCCGCTTATTTGTTTAGCTGAGTTATAAGCCACAAACCCTGATTTCAAAGAGCTTTAAGTTCTTTTTTGGAGACTTTCAATATTCAGACAGTTTAATGCATTTGAGTAATACTGAGTTCAGAGTGCATGAGGCTGTGTAGGTTTGGAGCTGATATTGAATTTTAGGGTATCATGGCAGAGTTCCCAGGGAAAGTGATAGCTAAGAGATACTTGAGGTATGAGAAGTAATGAGTGAACTATAAAATGAGCCTCATGGGGGACACAGCTCTGTTGTTAGTGAAAACATTGCAAAACCTTGGTAACTCCAGATAGCTCCAGATGTGCAGTATGAAGGAGTTAGAGAGGAAGTTTAGGTTATCGATAATTGATGGCATGAATGCTGTGCAGCTGATCTTGAATGCTTGTGGCTTTGGGAGCCTGCTAATAGTTTCATGCATACAGATTTACATGAGACAATTGTGGGATTAGAAAAATTGTTTTGTTTGCTATTTAGAAAATGGATCAGCAGAGAGTTAAAGTTGTGTAGGTATTCAAATTAGAACCCTCTTTCTTTAGTTAGGCAAGCAATGATAAATTAAATACTGGAATACAGCAAAGTAGATATTTTTGAGGAAGATGGTACAAGGTTGGGTTGTCCGTTGGATATGGGATCTGTTTGTTATCAGGAAACAGTGGGAGAGATTATCAATAATTGTACTTCTACCCTTGGTTCCAACACTTAGCAACACACCATTTATTTTAGGGAAATTCATTTAATACTTAAAAAAATTTATTGGTGCCGGCGCCAGTGGCTCATGCTTGTAATCCTAGCTACTCAGGAGGCTGAGATCTGAGAATCGCAGTTCAAAGTCAGCCTGGGCAGGAACATCCGTGAGACTCTTATCTCCAGTAAACCACTTGAAAACTGGAAGTGGTACTGTGGCTCAAGCAGTAGAGCGCTCGCCTTGAGCTGAAGAACACAGGGATAGTGTCCAGGCCCAGAATTCAAGCCCCACGCGCCCCCCCCCCAAATATTGTCAAGGTGATGTACAGAGGGGTTATAGTTGCATAAGTAAGGTAGTAACTATATTTCTTATTGAACCTGTTAACCCCTCCCTCATTTTTCTCCCCCCTCCCTCATCAAGTGGTACAATTCATTTCCAACATACTATGCTGTGAATATCACTGTTGCATTGATTTTCCCCTTTGTTGTTTGTCTCACCATTCTGTTGTGCCCCTTCCCTTCCCTAATTCAGATAAATGTATATACAATACCGAGGCTACCAAAATCAAATAAAGTGACAACAAAAGATAAACCATACAGGAAAAAAAAAAACAAAAGAAAAAAGAAATCACATAGTACTTTAAAAACAACAACAACAAAGAAAAACCTCTTGTGTCCATGTCCTAGAGTTCATTCATTTAATACTTTAAAAAAAAATAATTTTTAAAAAAAATTTTAAAAATTATCTTTAGCTGGGCACTGGTGCCTCCCACCTGTAATCCTAGCTACTAAGGAGCTGAGATCTGAGGATCATGGTTCAAAGCCAGCCTTTCAGTAAAGTCCATTAGACTCTTAACTCTAATTATCCACCAGAAAATTGGAAGTGGTGCTTTGGCTCAAAGTGTTAGAGTGCTAGCCTTGAGCAAAAGAGCTCAAGGACAGTGCCCAGACTTTGAGTTCAAGTCCTATGGCCTACAAAAAAAAAAAAAAGAAAGAAAAAAGAAATTAGAGTATTAAACACCACTATATTTTCCCTGCTAAACTGACAATAATTGATTAAATTTTATTAGCATACATTTCATTGTGTCATATTCATATGTGCTTATAGTGTACTCACAAAATTCAGTGTTCTATTATTTCTTGTTTCTCCTTCACCCTTTTAAACAAGTTTTACAAGGTTTCATTATTTTCTTCTCATAGATGCATATAAAATACTTCAATTGTATTCACTCTCCTGCCTTTACCTTCTCTTTTGGCCCTACAGACCCTTCTGGTTTCTATAATAGTGCATTTTATATTAGTCTGTCCTTCCGTCCGTCCGTCTACCTCCAACCTACCTACCTACCTACCTACCTAGGTGCTGGTCTAGGGGCTTGAAATCAGGGCTTAGGTGTTGTCGCTGAGTTTTTTCCTCAAGGTTAGCACTCTACTACTGAGCCACAACTCTACTTCTGGCTTTTTTGGTAGCTAATTTGAGATAAGTCTCATGGACTTTCCTGCCTGGGCTGGCTTTGAACTGTAAGACTCAAATTTCAGACTCCTGAATAACTAGGATTATAGGAATGAGCCACTGGTGCCCAGCTTGTACAACTTATTTTTAAGGTCTGGATTCCTCATATGTTAGAGAACATGGATTATTTGTCTTCCTCATTCTGGCCTATTTCTCTTCACATAGATATCTTTAGCTCCTCCTATTTTCCAGGAAATGGTATAATTTCATTCTTCCTTATAGCTGAATAGTACTCTGTTGCGTGTGTGTAGTTTTTTCACATTTTCTTTGTCTGTATTTCTTAGGTTGCTGATATAAACATGTGTGTATGGGCCTCTTGATTGTATGCTGACTTACATTCTTTCAGCTCTATGTGCAGACTTGGTACTGCCAAGGTTACCTGACAATTCTCTTTCTTTCTTTCTTTCTTTCTTTCTTTCTTTCTTTCTTTCTTTCTTTCTTTCTTTCTTTCTTTCTTTCTTTCTTTCTTTCTTTCTTTCTTTCT